GGAATTGGTCCTTGAAAAAGGTTGCTGCTGAGATTCAAAGCAATCTGCAAATTTGGTGGCATTTTAGGAATACTCCCTCTTAGTTTATTTCCTCCAAGGTCTAGTTCTAACAGAAGATTCAAGTCTCCAAGAGTGACGGGGATTGAACCAACAAGATTGTTGCTCTGTAGGTTCATGTTCGTGAGTTTCTTCAAATTTGAAATTGAAGATGGAATTGGACCAGTAAGATTATTCCAGCTGATGTTGAGTATTTCCAGACTCTGTAACTGTGTAATCTCAGGTGGGATTTGCCCACCCAACTTGTTTTGCTGAAGCTTCATAACTTGAAGCTGGGTTAAATTGCCCAGTTCCACTGGCAGTGTCCCATTTATGTTATTCTGGGCCAAGTTCAATACCACCAAATTTTGGCAGGAACCCAATTCCGGAGGAATGGACCCAGAAAAGTTATTGTTTTCCAGCCCCAAGGAAAGCAGGTTCTGAAGTATTGCAAGCTTTGCAGGGATTGAGCCACTAAGTAAGTTGCTTCCCAATCTCAGCCTTACCAAGCTGCTGCTGGAAGATATTCTTTCAGGTATTGTTCCACGTAACAAATTATAAGACAAATCCACCTGCTGCAAGCTTGACTGTGACAAAAGGTCAGATGGCAACCCAGTTAATTCATTATAGCTAAGGTTTAAATTTTTGATATATCTTGTGATCCGACTAGGAACTACACCTACAAAATTGTTCTGATTAGCTGCAAACTGCTGCAGGGTGCTGATACTTGAAATGGATTTTGGGATTTCTCCACTCAATCTATTGGATGACAGAACCAAGAGTTGCAGCTTGGATAGGCTATCAATAGCTACAGGAATGGAGCCAGTAAGATCATTATCACCAAGATCAATGAGGCTTAAATTCTTATACGTCAGCAATTCTACAGGAATTTCACCATGGAACAAATTCTTAGACAGCTGAAGTTGTTCCAAAACAAAAGATTTTCCTAGCTGAGTGGGAACAGACCCACTGAATTCATTGACACCAAGATTCAAACTTTTGAGTGAAACCAACTGACTCAACTGTGAATTAATCTCTCCAGTCAAATTATTAAAAGACAAATCCAAGACTTCAAGTCCAACAAAATTTTGAAAAGCAGGCAAAGAACCAACCAACCTGTTCCTGCTAATATCCAACACCTTCAACCCATCAATCCCTCCACAACCATTGAGGAACCCATCTGAGATACTTTTCAAATTGTTGTTGGACAGGTTCAGAGACTGCAAAGAATCAATCCTGCACACCTCACTCAGAAAGTCAGAGCCAGAGAGACCAAACCCAGATAAAGAAAGTGAGATTATGGAGCCGTTGTTTGGGGGGCTGCAAGTGACACCTTTCCACAAACATGGGTTTGGCTCCCGGGTGACATCCCATGGCAATTGTGTCTTATTAAGTTGCTGAGAAATTGAGATCATAACAGTGGTTTGGCTCGAAGGTGGCTTAGAGAAGACCAGAGGATGCATGAAGCAAAAGAGAACAAAGAACATACAGGTTTTTGGCATGGACCTCATCATTCAGTGTGCTTAAATTTGTTATTCCTGCACACTTCTTATACTCCCTGCAATTTTTCTTTTTGTTCTTCTCTTTTATAGGGTAAACGTTCATCTATGTTTTATGAATGTAGGAAAAAGGCTCACTTGGGATTACATAAAATAGAAATTAAATCCTTTCTTCTTCGTTTTTTTCCAAAGCGTCGAAATTTGTGATCCTGTTGCCTTCGTCATTGACCAAGTCTAGAGGAATGGGAGCTTGCGGAAGAGCGACCCAATTACCCAAATATTCATCACACTTTTGGGTGTTTCTTAGAAATTAACATGAAGAAAAACAAGATAGATGTTGGTGTTTTATCAATTCTCACGTGGCATGGAGTGGGTTTGGGATGAAAAAGAGTACTTCCCATTCTACAATTCAAAATTAAAATAAATTTAATAATTCTATTTTCAAGATGAGATATGATTATTTAATTATTTATTATTTACTAATTGCATCTTAACTTTAATTTTAAACTTAAATACTAAATATTTTTATCAAATTCAAGCACAATCAGAATTAGACTCACTATACATAATTTAGCTTAAGTGATATGAAATTTACTTTCTAACCATAATAATTAGTAATTGAGTATAAATTCACATTTGTAAAAAATGACTACTTTAATACCAATTTAAATGACCCAAATTAAAATCCATTATTATTCTAATAAGCCTTCATGTCAAGATTGATGAGTTTTTGAAAACTCAAACTCAAATTTTTAATAGAATTCGTCTCTACCCTTATTCACCAAAGCCATTCATAAGTCTTCATTGACGTGAAATTTGGGGCAAGATTCTTGGCGTTATATAACTTTTCAAAGTTAATGCTTCAGTCATTACCAATGTTTTTGGACCTGGTTCGGTCTGATTGATTGAACCGGTTGAATCGGATCCGGGCTTGAAAACGGGCTGGTTGAAGGCTTCAGCCCGTTTAGGTGAATGGCCCGTTGAAACTCGTCAAGCCTGTCGTGCCTGCTGGACTCGTGCGACGCGCTATGCTCGCCCGGGCTGAAATTTTCACCATCTTTTTAAGTTTTTGTCTTTTTTGACTTAAATTAAAGTTTAAAACTTAAATTAAAAATCAATTAAACTAATTAACTAAGTAAAAACTAAAACCTAAAAACTAAAAATGCTAAGAATCTAAGATCATTAGGAGCTCGGGACAATGGAAACAAATTGCAAAACCCAGATAGGAGGAACCAATAGAACTGCAGAAGGGTCTTTCGTCGATTTTCTCTTTGTCGATCGTCCACCGATTTCTCTTCCACCGATCGTCCGTCGATCTTTTCCTCTGTCACTACACTTCTTCTCTTTCGATAGAAAAGCAACAGACAGAAGCAGAACGAAGCTACCACCTTCAATCAAGAGAAACTACGCAGCATCAGCCCCACAGTGGACGACGATCTCGCGGCCAGTGCGATCTCGCGGCTAGTCTCGTGCCAGACTGCAAGCAGCTTGGAAAAGAGAGCAGTAGGGCCAGGCATGCAGCGGTGGTCGCTATGGAGCTTGAGGAAGACGAAGATGAAGACGCAACAAAAGAGACCGATTGTGGAGATGTTGAGAAGGTACTGGATGTTGCCATACCAGGCGCCGTCCATTCCGACGTCGCCGTTGAAGGCAGGGGAAGGAGGAGGAGAGGGAGTTTGGTTCATTGGGGCGGGGGATTTGGAGATTAGGGTTTGGGTGATTGGGTTTTGGGATTTTGATTCATGAAGGAGAAACTAACCTACACAGTAAAATTCAATAAAAATGTCAAAGAAAAAAATTTTTTAATTGATCGGTTGAATCGGTCAAGTGAACTGATTCAATTAGTTGACCCAGACTTGGTGGTCAAAACGGGCCAACCACCGGGCCGGGTTCAAAAACATTGGTCATTACGGCAGAATTAGAAGGAACTAATTTATTAAAACCAATCACAAACCTTCCGTGTGAATCGTGGATAACCACACCACTTTTTCCTTAACTTCTTTTAATCAAAGGATCCATTAGAATTCACTTAACTTCTCTAATACTATCATGAGTAAGGGCACCTCTGTAACTTTAATGTATACATATGCACTTGTATAATGATTCATGGAGACATACAATTTAATTATGTGTAGTCCAAATATTAAAATTAATAAATTATTAATGAATTAATACACAAAAAATTTTATTAAAAATATTTTAATAATTTTAATATTTAAACTATACTCTTAATATACAATCTAACATGAATAATATTTATTTATTTATTTTAACCACATTACTTATCATATTAAATGCATAAATACACGTAAGGTGGCCAAAGTCGGCATAATTATGGTCATGTACTAAATTTTAAGACCTCATGAACCATAATAATTTTTTCATATATTTAGTTATAATATTTAAAAATAATAAATAAATTAATTTTAATATATTAAAAGTGAATATTAATTATTTTATTTATTAATAAATATAATTATTAATTATTTTTTAATAATTAAACTAAATTAAATTAATATTTTATAAAATAATATTTAAAAAATTGTGTGCAACGATGGCCTGGTTGCACCTAGTTGCTCTATGATCTCCCTTCCTAAGGGAAGTTGGAACTGCAATTTCACCTTGACTAATTGACCAAGACTGCAAAAGTCATTTCTCCTTTATTATAAACGCGGTTTCTATTGTAGCATTCAAAGTCCAAATTTGAAAGTGGACTCTTATTATGTCCCACACCAAATGACTTTGAAGCTGAATTTTCTTTCCACATTTCATGCAATAACTAAGTAACTTCACCCAGTTTACTTGGTCTTTTTCTTCCCATTAATTTTTATCTTAATGTCCTTTATAAATGTATATATGGTTACTAAGCTTTTTTTTTCTTATATATTAGAAAACTAATTACTTAACAATATAAAGTTTTAAATCTTTAATTTTAACTTTAAATCAAAGTTTTTAAATTAATAAATATCAATTTGACTAAATTCTTATTAGTGAGATCAACAAACTTTTGATGCAACATATTAATAATCATTTTTATCTAACATTTAATCCATTACTAAGGTCTCGTTTAATTCACTTAGAATTTTTATAAAAATTCCTGCTTGAGTTTAATTTTGAACCTTATACAAATAGTTTGTTAATGTTTTAACAAAATAATTCCTGGTGAGTAATAAAAAACAACAGTATAATGCAATGCATACATTTGTGATTGTAGAGTAAAGTGCACCCATGCCAAACGCTTGAGGGTGGAAATGCAATTTACCCTTTTTCTATAACTTCAAAAGGAAGGGACTTTAAATTAAAAAGGAACGTGTTTGTGGGTCAAAGTGGGAAAGAAGGAAAAATAGGAAAGTAATTGTCAGTTGAATTCTTCTTTTTGCTGTGGCAGAAAGACTTGTGCAGTCAACTCCACTCCCAACACGCCAAACAAAAACATTTTCTACTGACACGCACTTTCCTATGAATTTCCACATAGAAAAACATAAAATCTACCAGACATCTCCCCTCTCCAAATCCACTGCTGCTCAGTTCCTCTTCTTCTTTTGTCTCCTCCCACCAACTAAATCCCAACAACATACATATATTACAGACAGTTGCAGAGCATAGATATATATATATATATATATATAATACTAGAAGAAAACAGAGGGATAGATTGTCTAAAAAATGAGTCTTTCCTTGTTCTTGTCCTTCTTCTTCTTGTTGCATCCCTTGGTGTTGGCTCAGCTTGCTGAAAATCAAAGGAGTATCATGCTCAATCTACCTCACTTGCTTAATATCTCATCTTCACCGTGGGATGTCACCAAGGAGCCAAACCCATGTTTATGGCAAGGAGTCACATGCGGTGACCCCCCAAAAAACAGCTCCATAATCTCACTTTCTTTATATGGGTTTGGTCTTTCTAGTTCTGACTTTCTGAGTGAGGTGTGCAGGATTGATTCTTTGCGGTCTCTGAACCTGTCCAACAACAATTTGGAAAGTATCTCAGATGGGTTCTTCAATAGTTGTGGAGGGATTGATGGGTTGAAGGTATTGGATTTTAGCAGTAACAGGTTGGTTGGTCCCTTGCCTGCTTTTCGAAATTTTGTCGGACTTGAAGTCTTGGATTTGTCTTTTAATAATTTGAATGGAGAGATTAATTCACAGTTGAGTCAGTTGGTTTCACTCAAAAGTTTGAATCTTAGTGCCAATAGATTCATTGGGTCTGTTCCTACTCAGCTAGGAAAACCTTCTGTTTTGGAACAACTTCAGCTGTCTAAGAATTTGTTCCATGGTAAAATTCCTGTAGAATTGCTGGCATATATGAATTTAACCCTCATTGATCTTAGTGATAATAATCTTACTGGCTCCATTCCTGTAGCTATTGGTAGCCTATCCAAGCTGCGATTCTTGCTTCTGTCACACAATGGATTGACGGGAGAAATCCCAAAATCCATTTCAAATATCATCACCCTGCAGCGGTTTGCAGCTAATCAGAACAATTTTGTTGGTGAAGTTCCTGTTGGGATTACAAGATATATCAAAATTTTAGACCTTAGCTATAATAACTTATCTGGGTTGATTCCATCTGACCTTTTGTCACAGTCAAGCCTGCAACATGTGGATTTGTCTTATAATTTGTTAAAAGGAACAATACCTGAAAGAATGTCTTCCAGCTTGGTAAGGCTGAGATTGGGAAGCAACTTTCTCAACGGCTCAATCCCTACAACACTCACAAAACTTCAGAACTTGGCTTACTTGGAGCTGGAAAACAATAGCTTTTCTGGGTCCATACCTCCGGAATTGGGTGCCTGCCAGAATTTGTCGCTATTGAACTTGGCTCAGAATAACATAACTGGGACACTGCCAGCGGAACTGGGCCATTTAACCAAACTTCAAGTTATGAAGCTTCAGCAAAACAAGTTGGGTGGGCAAATCCCACCTGAGATTACACAGTTACAGAGTCTGGGAATACTCAACATCAGCTGGAATCATCTTGGAGGTCCAATTCCATCTTCAATTTCAAATTTGAAGAAACTCACGAACATGAACCTACAGAGCAACAATCTTGTTGGTTTTATCCCCGTCAGTCTTGGAGACTTGAATCTTCTGTTAGAACTCAACCTTGGAGGAAATAATCTAAGTGGGA